CAATTCCATTCTATCTGCAGATCCCTATTCTTTCTATTCTATATTTTCTCATCTGTTTCTGAATCTGAGCAGCCTTGCTATGTTCAAACATAGTGGGGACATTCCATTTCCCATATGTTTACTTTCGCTTTCATCGGGAGTACGGAAGAGGCACCGGCCAATCGGCTTTCGGAAGGCTGTCACCAACTGGCATCATTTCGTCTCTCCAATTCCAGCGAGGAATAATTTTGTTTTTATTTTTTATATTTTGTTTGTGCTTTGAAGTTTCTCTAGCGGTTGGATATGTTTTACGGGGTACGCTTGCTAGTCCTACGCCTATCCCCTCCTCTTTATCCGGGCTTAGGACCGGCTAATAACTAGTGAACTAGTTAAGCAGGCAAGGTTATATATATATATATATATATATATATATATATATATATATATATATATATATATATATCATGTCGGTGCTTCTATGTGATGGTTGAGAGGCTTGGGGTTTTACGAAAAGCATTTCCAGCAATCTGAATACTTACGTAAACTGCTGCTGTCTGCGCTCACTCTATACGGAAGATCAGATCAGATGATCAGAAAGAATAAGCAAGGTGAAACTCTGGCCTGCCAACGAACCAACCAAAGAGGAACCTATCGCCCAACGAATATACAGAAGAGAGTGGAGATGCATTGGCTTGGATTGCATTGGGTTAGACATACACTTAGAAGACGGTTTAGGGACATCACGCGCCAGGCCAGGCCATGCCGTTGAGTGGAACCTAAATGGGAAACCACGACTTGGGTGTTTGAGGATGACGTGGAGGAGATCGTGTGAAGAAGAAATGAAAGCTTGTTGGCAGTGGTGGAGCCAGGTTAAAAAGACTGCAGAGAAGAGAAGAAGAGAGTGAAATAGTGATGTGCTACGTAATCGCTATGTTCCACTAGGAACCCAAACGACAAATAAAAAATGAGAAAATGATATATATATATATATATATATATATATATATATATATATATATAGAGAGAGAGAGAGAGAGAGAGAGAGAGAGAAATACTAAGCGACTGTGTGAACTGTAGTCAAAGAATTCCCTTTGACTCTGTAAATGACAATGAAGGAGGACTCAGGTGAAGTTGTATGTTTAGAGTTGACCTATTATTCAAGAAGTGAACTGTTTCATCTTCTCCTGAATGTTGGTATATTTCAGCATAGAACAGTACATATGACTAAATGGATTCCATAACATATGGATATAAATAAAAGTTATTAAAAATTATCACCTTCAGCCTATTTTGAAGTAAAAGCCGAAAATAAGCGGAAAATAAGCGTGATAACCACCTTGATATCAAGGATGTTATGTGAAGAAAGCATATTTGACTCATTTCTAGATAAACAAAATGAAAGTATCGCTTACCAGATTCCATTACTTCGGTTTTTGTTGTTAAGGTCAACTGAGTCTTGAAACGAAACTGTTGAAATCTACTTAATTACTAATGATGTCAAAATGATGAGAAAAAAAACGAGAACAGATAATTAGATGATCGTAGATAATTTAGTTACCTTGTCACTTTTTATCTACGTGAAGTTTTTACTGCACTGTTAACAATGAAATTTTGTCTAGTAATGCGATACTGAACATAAATCCTCCAACAAAAATGGAAGTCCTGAACGACATAAAGCTACTGAAATGCGGGAAAGCAGCAGGACCAGATATGATCCCGCCAGAAGCACTGAGAACAGACGCAGAGACAACAGTGGACATGCTCACACCACACCATTATTGCAGAAGGTGAGAAAGGAAGAGAAGGTACCTGGCTAGTGATTGGAGGAAGGGTTACCTTGTCAAACTGCCGAAGAAGGGAGACCTCAGTGTTTGCAAGGACTGGCGCGGAATCACTCTCCTGTCCACCCAGAGCAAGCAAAATATTAAGCCGCATCATCCTGGAGAGGCTTAAAGATGCACTGGATTCAAAACTACGACCGGAACAGGCAGGCTTCAGGAAGTACAAATCATGTGCGGACCAGATTGCAACGCTTCGCACCATCAAAGAACAGAGTACAGAATGGCAGTCAACACTCTACCTCAGCTTCATCGACTTTGAGAAGGCCTTCGACAGCGTCGACCGACAAGTAATTTGGAAACTGCTTCAATACTACGGAGTACCGCAAACCTTTATCCACCTCATTCAACAACTATATGAAGATGCCACATGCCAAGTAATTCACAATGGGAAGCTCAGTGATGCTTTCGAAGTGAAGACAGGAGTGAAACAAGGTTGCCTACTATCCACCATGATATTCCTGATTGTGGTCGAGTTGACTGGATCATGCAGCAGACAGTGGGGAGCGAGAAGAGGGGGATACGCTGGACGGCGGAAAAGAACCTAGAAGACTTGGATTTCGCCAGTGATGACTTGTGCCTGATGTCACATAAACTTGAAGATCTACAGGTAAAAACTTACAAGTTGACAGGAGATGCAGGGCAGCGAAGACGGGACTTCAAGTGAATATAGAGAAGACAGAAGTGATGAAGATACCGCACCACCACCATCAACAACAACAACAAACTCCAATCACCGTCAACGGGAGAAACTTAAAGGAAGTAACCTCCTTCACCTATCTAGGCAGAGCAGCACTGTTTCAACTACAGGTGGCACAGGCACAGACGAGGATGTCAAAACCAGTCAGAATCGGAAAAGCAAGACAGGCGTTCATTAGCCTGAAACCAGTGTGGAGATCTTCTGCACTCAGCATGTGGAACAAGATACGGATTTTCAACACCAACGTCAAGTCAGTGCTTCTGTATGGCTCAGAGACTTGACGCGTCATGAAAGGGATTTCCAATAAACTACAGACATTCATCAACAACTGCCTACACTGGCTAGTTAATGGAGATCAGATGGCCAGAAAGAATAAGCAACAAGGAACTCTGGGAACGAACCAACCAGGAACCTATCGCCGAACAAATATGTAGAAGGAAGTGGAGATGGATTGGGCATGCACTGAGAAGTCCGACTGAGGACATCACGCGTCAGGCCAGTTACTCGAGTGGAATCCCCATGGGAAGCGACGAGTTGGACGCCCGAGGGTGACAAGGAGGAGATCGTGCGAGTAGGAAGTGAGAGGTTGTGGGCTGTCGTGGAACCAAGTTCAAAAGATCTCAGAGAACAAAGGTCACTGGAGACGTTCTACTTAAGCCCTATGTTCCACTAGGAACCCAAGAGACTAATAAATAAAGTAATGCGATACTGAAGTCTGTTTCAGAAAACATTCAAGGAAATAAGTTCAGCAAGTGATAAAAGAGTGAAAAACCAGCTTGAATTGTATCTTGTAAACTAAACATCAGTATATATTCACTGTTGTTACTTGTACTATCCCATAGATAATTACACAGAATTTTATCGGTCTGTATTGGCCTATAGGCCCCTGTGTGAATATCAATTAAGATGCATCAAATTTGGTCCAATCAATGAATAGCTAATACAGGTAACATCAAGAAAACTATACCGTAATTCGGTGATTGAATAAAAAGCTATAATGCTTGACACAATCGATCTTCAGTTCGAACCTTAGTGGGAACTATATGGCTAACAGGAAGGTAGGTACATTCAGCTGACAAGTGGCAAATAGCAAGAAACACGCTTCCTGGATTTCACTTCTAACCACTATTTATCATTATTATCAGTGTATTTAGTTGAAAGTTTATGGGGATTTCAGTTTTCACGTAATATTCTTCATTGACTGATATCAGTTGAAGAAACGTTGGAAACCTGGGGGACTCATTAATAGTATGAAGCTGCCTTCGATTCCTGCAGTGAGCTAACTAATCATTCACCTATTATGTTGGAATTCATTGATTTACAGTTTTCTGCATCTCTTGGTTCAAGCTCCTCAATTGGTATCCACTTCATTTACGACTGATTGACCTCATTGGTTACAACTTCTCATTAGGAGAGCCCGGTATTGCGAAGAAATAGCTACCCAGTTTTTCCCTGGTTCAGCAACTAATTACATTCCATAGTGAATACTGCCTTAAACCTTCGTATATAGCATAGATGTTCAGCTATCTTACCCTAAATAGTCTATGTATCAGTAGATAATTATCTTAAGAAGTAAATGTTATCCTTCAAGTGTTACGCAGTGGGATATTATTTCATAAATGAATGAAACATTTTACCTAATCATCATCCAGTTTTCTAAACACCCTTGAGTGGTTTCCAACAGTAAGTCAGTTGTGAAAAATGTCAATATGGATCAAGCAATCTGTAAATTATCATTTTCAAACTGACCATCCTGTTTCGTTCTAGTATGAGACTCCTCAGCAGTGCGCACCCACGACCACATCCCACCAGGAATCGAACCCAGAACCTTCAGGTTTCATGATCAGTACATTACCATTGCGTTAGCCACTGAGTCGGAAACCAATGATTCGTATTTCCAACATCTGTCAGTTCACTATATAGCGTGACCATCATCGTCATCGTTTAGTATTTGTCCTTACGACCTGATAGAAGTTGGAAATATGAAACACTGGGTTCCGACCCAATGGCTCAGTGGTGATGTGATGGCCACGGAGCCTGAAGATCGCGGATACGATACCTGAAGGGTCTTGGGTGCGCACTGCCGAGGAGTTACATGCTAGAAAGAAACAGTTGTCCAAGGTTACCAGGTTTCCAGTGCTCCTCCAACTGATGTCAGTCCATGATGAACATCAACTTAAAATATGTGAACTGAATTTTTCGGGATGCACTTCTGCTGAAATGACTTGGTGCCAAACGAGCGAAATGACCTTTCGGTGTATTACGATCATTCTGATCTGCGTTGCAAAATCTTCAGAACAACCTAACTGGCTTCTAACTACTCAGTTTGTTCACTGGATAGCTGACATACATAGTTTCCTAGTTTCATTAGTATATGACCCTAGATTATGTTTGTAGAGGAAGATTATTTCAAGCATACTTTTAACAATATACACAGTTGGTCACTTATTTTCTGATATTTTCTTTGCTTTTCTCACCAACAGAGAGATGTGAAAACCTTGTCAGCATCGTGGAAACCAACAGTGTTCTATGATAAAGATGCAGACAAACAAACGGTCAACAGAAAACAAGTCAGAGATTCAATGGTATGTCGATCTTTAAAATATACCTTTTGTCCAGCATACATTTAATTCGTTTTTCGACGATAATCTATGCTTGAATATGGTGGTAAGAACAAGATATAACATAATGGAGGCGATGTCACCTTAAAACTTAAGTTTGTCACCTACTTAGACGATTAGATATAGCTCAATCTGATGCATAAAATCAACACTGTTGAAGTATGGTGACTTACAACATTAACCAGATTAATAATCATGTTATCTTATGCTTATCATTATTGTAGATTTTCGTTTTCAGTATGATACCGCGTGATTTATCGGTTCAGATAATGAAGTATCTATTTCTGTGTGCATACATTAGTCTCAAAAAAATTTCACCGTCTTTGATAAGACTGAATGATAAGTATTACTTCGACGTAGATGAAGTTGACTGAAGGGAAGGTTATGAGTGTCTTGCTCCAACAGTCCAATAGCATTCCTAGTGATGGACTGTGGATTTGAGCCTAAGAGGGATTACCATCAATCACTTAACATGTCGTCTTAACGGCTCCCATGCTGTTCACTGTTTACTAACCTTGGGACTGCATAAAAGAAGCGGAGGCGTGGTCAGTGAATGATGTGGTGCTGTGGAATGAAGGGTAGTTGAGTTGGGTTAGCGTCTGTTGGCGCATCACGACTCTCTGGGCAGGGTCCTAGTTATCACACAACTCAGTGGCTTAAGACGCTATTAGATATGACTCAGAACTGTAACCACCGGCAGTCATACTGTTGCTTTCTCCTATCTTTTGTTGCTTGAAAGTAACGAATCTTTCGTTTCGAATGTACCTTACTGAACCACTCTTCTAATCATTTTATTCTTACTGTGTTTTGTTTTGACCAACTTAGCTTCGCTTTATGTCTTCATGATGTTGTTCGTGGGGGGTGCATTTATTGTTACTCTTGATGTACTACATTTGTGTTCTAATTATAAATAAACTTAACAGAAGGCAGGTACATGCAGTCGATAACTCCCAAACAGAACGAAACACCTGTTCTAGACTCCATTTCTAGCCACCAATAAGTAAATACTATTAAATACCTTTTCAACAAATATGTTAACGAATACCTACAGACTTATGCCTTTACAGAGGATTAGCTCAAGTATGAGTAATTCATGAATATAGTCCCTGAATTCAGGGCTGAAGTAAACAGATCGCAACCATTCCAGAAAGTTAAGTATCCCAAAGACTTCCTAGATTTTTTGTTGGTGATTATAAGCATTTCAATATTTTGACTATTTGATAATAACGACTGGTGTAAAATCAGTGATAAAACATAATTTTAAAATAATGCACTTGGTTGTGGCTAGCAGAGGAATCTAGAAGGCGGTTTTTTTCTTACTTGGGACTCATCAGCTGGATGTACCTACACTACAGTGAGTGATATTGTCCTCATTGACAATCGAACCTCGTACCCATTGTTTCAAACACCAGAGCATTATCCACTAGGCCACAGAGCCACGATAGCCACCTCTTGTATAACGGGTATTAGTTGTTACTACTCACTGATATGCTTATAATCCTCCATTGTTTTACTGGGTAGAATTGTTCGACCTCTGTTGATATATGGGCTCATATCTAGATACCTCGATACTGCCTGAATATGAATTATGGTAATGTACTTGGTGCTTATCGTGCCTCTGTAGCATAGTGGATAATGCCTTTGCGTTTGAAGCGATGAGCACGACGTTTGGGTCTCAGTGGGAACAATACCACTCATTATAGTGCAGTTACATCCAGCTGACGAGTCTCAAGTAGGACCAAAAGCGCGTCCTGAATTCATCTGCCAGTCATAACTAAGCACATTACTGTGAATCATTTTCAGGCAATATCGTAGCATCCGCATAGGAACCCCTATGCTGACACAGGTCGAACTATTCGATCCAATAAAATAAGGGTGAATTACAAGTGTGTCAATAAATAGTAATAAGATGTTCGATACTATTCTGCGTGTATGTGTGTGTTTACGAAGTTGTATAGCATGATGATACTGTCTGTGATGAACGCAGTTTTTTTAATTTATTTTACACATACGCATATAGTGTGATAATCAATATTCCTAATGTCTGTTAACTTTGAATTGCGGCGGGATTCGAACAGCTGGACGCTGGCTGGAAACCAACTGCGGTTCAAATTTTCATTTTACTTTCAGTCACCACCCAGTATGAGTACTGGTCTGCCAAACCACGGCTATCTCAGATAGTCTAATGATAATCAATATGATGCTCCCCCCCTCTCTAATTCAGTTCGATTCCGACCGGGATGAGAAGTCTTGACTAAGAAGCCAGTGTGAATATGATCGAGCGATAGTAACGCGTCACGAATTCACATGGTAGTCAGGCGAAACCCTACGTGATTAAAGTGAAGTAAAACTGTGGTGAGCAGTCGGGTCTTGTAGTTCTGTCGATAGAGCATCAGGCTGGGAAGCCAGTGGTTGCTGGTTAGAATCCAACCGCAGTCAAAATCTTCATCTCACCTTCAATTATCATCAAGTATAAAGGTAGCAGTATTAAATAGTGAAAAGTTAGTCAGTCTTTGTAAGTGCTGAAATCAAGTGTTGTTGAATAAATCGGAAAAAATTCAATTTAAGTTTACCAAACTACTTATTTATGCGTAAAAATGTCTGAAGAGAAATCAGAAGTGGATGAGATAAACATAGGTACCAATCACAGTATAGTAATTGTTAAATATACATAATGTTGGAAGGTTTGATAATTTTGTGTAGTATTATCATACATTAATTATCCTACGACAAACGTTTCTTTTGGTTGTCTCGTCTTATTCATACTCAGTAAAAAGACTTTGAGAGTTCAGCTAATTACCTCATCATTTACATTCTTTTAAAAATGTATTGATGTAGACATGATAAAGATATGCCCAGTGTTCTTAGAATGAGTTATTTTTACATCAGTCCCTTCGATATATGTTGGCGTATGGGCTGCTATGCAACAACATAAATGCTATACCAGTTCTCACTGCCTAGTTAAGAGATGATTATCAGCTTCAAGTCTCAGTGGGAACAAAATCACTCATTGGGAGGCTATTACATCCAGTTAACAAGTTCCGAATAGGAGAAAATGTATGTCTACCCAATCTCCATCATTTTGGTAAAAGTTCCTTTGATATTGATGAAATTCTTATACCTTTTTTAGACAAATGTCAGTGCAATATAGACTGTTTACTTCCATTATTACTGAGTTAAAGGTGGACTTCAACACCGACCTTCTATCAGTGGGAGAACCATTATAAACCTGGGAACATTGAACAGCTGTTTTGTCCTAGAATGAGACTCTTGAGCAGAGCTCACGCATGACTCCACTAGGAATCGAAACAAGGATTCGGTCAATGGGTTAGAGTCCAACGTTGATCATTTTATTACTTCCGTTGATCTGCGACATACAACCACCTTCATCCTTTCGTATCGTTGTGTCATGTCTGCCTCGGTCTACTCGACTGGACACAACTTCTCATTAGAACTTCAATATATCTCATCTCGAACCAAGTCACTAATGAGTAGTAGACAAAAACTTAATTTGTAGATCTATGAGTATTTTAAATGGTATTCATGGTAATATTTGATCATGAAATCGATTCCTGTCAGGATCATAGACCTATACTAGGATAAAATAACTATCATATACTCTAAGATTTTCAATGGTTCTCAAAGTTGATGTCAATCCATGATAAATATTAACTTGAAATCAATAAATTTCTCATAAACCTCTAACATGAATTATACTACTTCTTACTTATTGTAAATTTGATTATAAATTCTTTGTTTAGATTCCTTATACTATACTAATCAGACAAGTATTGAAAAAAAAATGTTTTAATTGACCCCTTTTTATAAAAAAAAAATAATCTGACGATAATATTTTAATACTTTAAAGTGAATTAACGTGTTTCGTATTCATTAACTTGTATTGTATAAAAGATACTTGAATTGAATATCATGCAGTCAGTTGATTAATCTTGTTTCATTTTTAAGCTACATGACAAGACAGAAACAATAAGTGCTCTTCAATGGCATAACTTTATTTATAACTTATCAGTTAGACTTATATGTCTATTAATTCTATTATACTTTTCTCAGTAATATTACTCAAATTCAAGATCAACTGCTTTCAACATTACAACATTATCTACTGTGATGTTTGATTAGATTCCAGTCACAATGTAAACAATATTTTTATAGCTAGAAGATAAGTACATCCAGCTAAAGAGTCTAAAATAAGATGAAATACACATCATAGATTCTACTGTTAGCCAATCTGCCCTATTACTATCAAGACTGAAAATATTGGCAATACTAATGAATTGGTATACGAGCCTATATGTCAATAATGACCTTTCAATTCCTTGCAGTCAATGAGTGAGATTGACAACCGAAAAACCGGGTGTTGAATTTAAAAAAATCTCATTGTCTTCAACAGATATCAACTTTTATTCAGAATTTTAAGTATTTCCTTGTACTGACCGAGAGTATTGAATCGATTAGTAATCGTTTTTTGTAACGAACTAACCTCCAGAGAGAAATATATATGGCTATCTCAAATTAGTTGGGTAAATATATAAATTTTCAGAATAAATTCTTCTATACCAGTCCTGTTCGTACTATTCCCACTGATTTGAGTTATTTAGTCGTGGAGATTTCATCGTCTTTCTAGACAACATCATCAACACCACCTTCACTATGAAGTGAGCTGTCAATATCTCTCAGTCAGTGAGTCAACACCTTCCACACACCAACTGATTTGTGTGTGGTTGGTTGTTTCCCTTGATTGTTGTGTTATCGACTAACTACACATTTTCCTGTTGACAATTCTTCCACTTGACTTCTCACCTTCCTCTCCTTTTCATTCATAGATTCGATCTGTTTCTATACATCTATTGATTACTGACTGACTGAACTGAATGTCATGCTTCTAGGAATTCTATGATATTCTGTGTGTTTCCTCTCTACATCCAACATTTCTACATTGCGAA